GCTGGTCTGAGGACAGTGATCAGTACTGAGTGACCTGTAGAGGGACAGTTGGTCTCAGGACAGTGACCAGTACTGGGTGACCTGTAGCAGGACAGTTGGTCTCAGGACAGTGACTTGTAGCAGAACAGCTGGTCTCTGGACAGTGACCTGTAGCAGGACAGCTGATCTCTGGACAGTGACCTGTAGAGGGACAGCTGGTCTGAGGACAGTGACCGGTACTGTTACCTGTACAGGGAAGGCCTCTCTGATCGGCGAGCAGTACAGAGTGACCGGTGTGGACGCACCTAGCTCTGTCGCAGGATTACTGCACTGTCCCCTTTAATATCACCCTCTGTTTTCTCCTGCGAGTTCTCATTCCTCCCTGGTCACAGCTGTTCCTTTCACCTGGCGTGCATAAAAATTCTTCTCTTCATCTCTAGAGATTTCCAGTAGCCTAGGGAACTATCTGCATTCCTTTTTCCCTCTCCCACTCTCCTAACCGGTCCTACATCATCCAAACTCCCCCTCCTCGCCCCTCTCAACCACCCCCCCTGCCCTGGGCCACTGCCTAACAATGGAACATTCCCCACCTCCATTGACTTTGCTGGAGGGCACTAGGCTGGGCGCTACCACAAAAACCGCTGAAAGGGGGAGGTCCTGATTCAGGGTGTAGCTGCTAACAGAGCTCAGATCTTTGCTGTTTGGGAACTGAGTTGTTTATTTTGCAGATTAAGTGAGACCTCGGTGTGTTTGCTGTGGCGAGTCTGTGGTCTGAGGAAGATGTAATGGTTTGCTTCTTTTCTCTCAGGGTGGAAACCGTTCAGGAAAAGGCCACTATGCTGCTCGGCACCAAAGTGTATTCTATCCGTCTCTCTGTCTCTCCTTCTCACTCTCTGGCTCTCTGTCTCTCTGTGTTTCCTCTGATTCATGGTGTCTCTCTGTCTCTCTGTCTCTCTGTGGGCCTGTCTCACTCTCTGTGTCTCCTTGTCTGTCTGTTCTCCCTTCTCTGTCTCTCTGTGGGTCTGTCTCACTCTCTGTGTCTGCTTGTCTGTATCTGTTCTCCCTACGCTGTCTCTCTTTGGGCCTGTCTCACTCTCTGTGTCTGTTCTCCCTACACTGTCTCTCTGTGGACCTGTCTCACTCTCTGTGTCTGTTCTCCCTACACTGTCTTTCTTTGGGCCTGTCTCACTCTCTGTGTCTGTTCTCCC